ACGGACCAGCTTGGAAAGTCATCATAGATGAACTTAACATACCACCCACTGTATTCGCATCACCCACTGTCCATGTACTCTAAAAAGCGGGAAAGATGTGCAGGGTGACACACGGACCGGAGGGGTTCCGGGTAGCTAACCTCTGACACATCCCAGGGTTGTGATCTTGTCCAAGAATCACAAACTCCATCTCGTGAAAGGCCATCAGAGGGGTTACTCTCAGAGTCTATCCACTCGATCCAAACACGAATTTGAAATCGTTGAAATAAGAAATGGGCCACCTGAACTAGGGTATGGACATCGATCTGGGAGCTGGAGCCACGGATGAGTGAAGCCACAGCTTCATTATCGATAAACCACAAGATATCCTGGTGTCGCAAGGTGGCTCCATGAAACCAAGGTACTAAGAGTCCACAAAGAGTTTCACCTGGATAAATTTGTTGCGTACGGGCAGTCCAGGACTGAATCACCGCCTGGGGGACAACACAGGTCACCCCTTGCGGGCGAGGGGAATGGCCAAAGACAACCCAGCCAACTCGAAGGACCCCATGTTCGAAGGACGCATCCGAGTAAACAAGGATTGGTTGACGCGGGGACGCCCTGACAGCAACATCTCGAGGCCCTGGGCAAGTGACCAACGCGACCAATAGCCGGAGGGTAACACCATCCTCAGGGGAGAGACTAGGTGAGTCAGCATGCTGTAGAGCAGTAAGCGTAGGTCCAGCGATCCTACCTGCTTGGCCTGCGCACATGCTGAACATCCAGTTGAGATCACCTCTGAGCTTGCCAGCGTCGTCTGGAGACAGACTGTTGGTAGCTAGAGCAAGGTGAAGTTTAGCTAATACCTTTCTCTGGGTGGTGAACTTGGGTTGGAACCGAATCGATCCCAAAGAAACAAAATCTCCAACATGTACAGATGTACCCAGGTAGTGGCGGTTCCGCCCAGGGGCAAAAGATTTGGACGCTTGCGGTGGTGCTCCCATAAGTTGAAAGACAAGTTGGAGTCCGCGCTGCGAGACATCCGCATGGTGAACAAAATCAACCGCAAGTTCATCATCAAAGTAAGCAGCACAAAGGGACAGGGTACAGCGTCTGGCAATCGCGATACCCAACTGGGGAAATCGGTTGAAGCTGACAACTGCACTCTCTAGTCCGTAGGCCAGCCCGTACATGGTTGTAAACCGCCAGCCTTCGTCAGGGACGAAAATGGCCACGTTGGAGAACCGCAAATGGTCATCTTGGACTGGCAAGCCTCGATAGGCATCAGGCAAATCATCTGTGCCCAATCTCAAGTCTAGCCAATCGGGAGGGTCGGACCAAAGGGTCTCCAAGGTGGTATTGACCATGCGAGCAACGGAGGCAACAAAATCAACGTTAACGGTCGAAATGGTCTCCTGCATGGAGGTATGCATGTTATGGCCACTCTTGCGGGCATTATCAATGACCCTCTGTTTTCCATCAGGCTGAATAATAAGAAAGCGCTCCACTGCGCGCCAGCCGCCAACGCCAAATTGATCATTCATTTCCTGCATAGTTCGTAGTGGGCTGCAAAAACCCTTAATGATCTCATCTTGAGTAACGGCCAAAATTTCCGGGGCGTGCAGGGGGGGTCGGCTACGGATCAACCGCTGTACCTCCTCTTCGGCGGATGGACCCAGCCAATCAGCCAAAGGGAGTTTAGCAGCTTGTTGGATACCTCGGAACACCCCAGACGGCGGAAGGGACCCAACAATAGCGAACCCCTGGACAAGTTGGCGGGCCATATCACGGTCCGGCCACCGCAGGAGGCATGCCATGGTTGCAACAAAAGCAGGCTTTTTAGCATGCGCTACTTTGTTGGCACTAGTACACCTTACCGCCGCAAGACACGGGTTCAGGATCTGCACAGCTTTTTCCACAGCCTTCAGAGTACGCCGCAGCCTTTGGCTGTAAACTGGGAGAAACTGCTGCCAGACACCCAGTGCCTGGACCACAAATGAGACGTCAGGTTCAGGCCAATCATGAGGATGGAAAGGCGACGGGAGTTGCATAGCCTGCTGCACATGTTCATCCTTGCCCAACCCCGGGGGCAAAAGATGATCCAGTCCTTTGGCCGAGGAGCTTGGGTAGCGTTGTCCTGTGAGCCCAGCGAAAATAGCTGTCCGCATACGCCCCCAAATAGGGACTGGTCCCAACACTTCCCAAGGCTCTTGCCGGAGCCGCCTCCACATAGGATAAGCTTGCAGACTCGCCAGATCACAGGCCTGCAACCGGGCAAGGACCTGCTGCCAAGTCCGCTCTGGGATGTCGGCAAAAGCGAAGTGGAGCCGCAGGTCCTGGCACACCTCAGTAGCGGTCAACACACCTGGCATGACTTCCAGGCGGCCTGGTTCCCAGACCGTATGCCGCAACCTGGCCCACAATGCTGCTTCCTCGACTGAGGTGAAGGATGGCACAAACTTTGCCTCCAAAATACTAGGTAGCATAGCCAACAACGCCACCACACAAGGAATATGGAAGCCATTACCAATGAAGGAATTCTGGACCTGGGTACGCTTCACTTGGTTGCCCCGAGCAGGTGCTACCAGTGCTGGCGGCAAGCACATCAACTGGCAGCGCTCAGCAGGCGACGGTTGGCGCCACTGCTGCCCATGCCAAAGGAGTGAATTCTCCTCATACGCCCCCGGGGGAAAGCGGCGCTGATCAGCATAGAAACGTTCAGCTGCCTCAGGACTCACTTCGGGGACCCGGTCCTCTGGGTGGTAAAAATCACGAGTGAATGTATGCATCGCACCCTTGCCAGCTTGCTGCAAGACCACCTGAGGGGAGAACAGGGGCATGAAGTGGTCGTCCCAATAAACCTGCGGTGGTAGAGGCTTCTTCCCCACACACCGCAGTTCGGCCACTCCAGAAGTAGATGTGCGCCATTGCCACGACTCCGGAGGTGGGTGGTCAGGGCCAACCACACCTCTTCGCGATCGAAGCCAGAAAAACCGGCGACGCGACACCCAGCCACATGAACTGGCGTCTAGCAGGATGGGCGGTCCCGCCAGCCAGGTCTCATAGGCCTGTTGAACCTGTTTAGGCATACTGGCGACATTCTCGAGGAAGGCAACAATCTCCATGCCCTGACAAGCCGGCAGCTGCTCAAATTCGGACACCAGCCGTTGAAGCTCAAGCGGCGGTTGCTGTGACCGTGTGTCAGCAAGCCCCTTGCGGCGTCGGTTCAGGGCTGAATTGCCTTGACACGGGGAGCCCCCTCCCAGGAGGACCCCCCGAAAGGAACGGCGGACCAGCATAGGGATGAAGTCCACGGCACGCAAATCCTCTACTCGCCTGACAGGGACAACTTGGGGCATGACGGCTTGAGTGCAATGGGCCGCTTCCTCATCCATCTCAGCGGCTACCGCATAGAAGTGGACTCCCATTGCTGATAAAGCTACCAATAACCCGCCAATACCCGACCAGAGGTCCAGGACCAACCATGTACCTTTGAAAGGTTTTGCACACGGGAACTGAGGCAAATCCCCTTGGCCCCGCCAAGTGATAGGTTTTGCTGCGTACAGGCGGTCAGCCATCGGGGTGTGGCCACTGTGGCCTTCAGGTCGTAGGAGAACGCAGCGGTGGGCCTCAGAAGATGCCGAACTAGCCTGAAGTTGGTCATTCAAGGCCACCTCGCCTGGGCCCCCCCGGGGTTCCCCGACCCTCGGGGGGCGCTGTCCCTATTCATGCTGAAGCCGGGTGTGGCTGGCCAGGCAGGCTTTCCCTGAGCTCAGCTTGACATCGCACTGATGAAGATCTTTGCAGCCCGCCTTGGTGCAACCACGCCCATCATTGAATGGCTTGCAAATCTTCTGGCCCCCTTTCAACATAGAGATAGTGGGCCATTAATCCGTCTTGACCATGCGCCGCTCCTTGGCAGGACCCTTCTCCTGTGGCTGGTCGCTCTCCGTCAAGCGACGTTTTGGGGAGGAACCTGCCTCAGGCAAGGTTGGCTGGACCCCTGGGGCGCGCCAGTCAATATGGGTTTGGCGTAATGCCTCCTCCAGTGCAGATGCCCCTGTGTAGCCACGGCGGATGAGGGAAGCCATCTTGGAGCGTGTGTTGATGTCATTCCTCTCCAACCACAGCAGGCTGCCCTGCCCGAACTCCATGGTGAATTGCAGGGCTTGATCTGCATATGACATAGCTGGGGTAAGGGGCATGAAGACCTTCTCATTACCATCGAAGTCTGACACCTTGTACAAACCTCCCCACGCCCAGGCATAGGCCAAAGTGCGTAGTGAAAAGTAGTACTCCACCACGGTGCGAACGATACGATGGTCGTCGGCTGCGAACTCAAGCTGAACGCCCGCACCCAGGCGGACTGATTCTTGTTGCTTGGGCGCCGACTGGTGGAGGATAGATCGGACCTTTGCCACACTGATGACCGACATCGTCCTCTTGCGGAATTCCCTATAGACACGGGACCGAAGGGCGTCTGATGGTTCCAAGAACGCATCCAACACCACGCCATACTTGGTGGCAAAGTCCTTGTGAAGTTGTTGCATTGTCGATTCGGGGAGTGTCTCATCAACCGCCTCTGGCTGTTTTGCTTCTGCAGCGGCTGCACGAATGGCCTCCAGGCCAGCTGCATGGGCTGCTTTAAGCCGCGCCCGCAACAACCTGTTGTCCTTCATCTTGGTGGGCTGGAGTACCTGATCCAATGATGTTTCCATGGAAGACTCATTGAAGTAGTAGACAAAATCTTCCAAGGTTTCCCACTTGTGGATGTGGACTAGCTCACTCTTCCACTCCTCCAGGATGTTGGCCCCAGCGAAGCAGGTTGTCAATCCACGGTCATCCTGATACGTATCAATGCGCCTTGAACTGCTCATGGTCGTAGGGGCACCACAAACGAAAGCTTGAGTGAACTAGCTACGATCCCTGTGAGCCCGGAGCTGGGTTGCGACAAAGCAAACTCCCAGGGGGAGGTCGCGGACCTACCACCCTGCCCGTCCGAACGAATGACCACGCCCCGACGCCCTCCCCATTCCGGTGGCATCCACGGAGAGGCCAAGCCAAGTCACAGACCGAAGGTGCCCCCCTTCAAGCCAACCCCAAGAAGGGAAAGAAAAAGGGGGTAGGGGACCCAACCGAAAACGACCTACTGGGAACAAACGACGTCGGAACGGTCGGTGACCAAGTCAAAACCGAACCCCACCTAGACGCACGTCGACCCCGACCCAGCACCCCCACAGGGCTCTGGCCCCTCGGCTTTTTATACACTCAGTGCAACCATCCGCACTGGTCAGCCAGGGAGGCATAGAGGCCTCGTGGCATGCGTGCTAGGCATCGCTGGCAAAACTGGCTCCGAACAACCAATCCGAAGCCCTCGCCCTGGCTCTTGGGGTCTTGGGCGAAAGGTGAATCCCGGCAATACGGCAGCTGGCGCTCATCGACCACGCCACTGACAATGTGAACTCGACGGCTTTGGACGAACCACTTGGCTTCTGTGATAGCCGCCTCCTCTGCCAGGACACCCTCCAAGTCGCTGCCCATAGCCGAACAGTCCGACGCGGACGAGGAGGTAGTAGACGAAGAAACCGACTGGGCCGCCGGATCAGCTTCCACCACCGGGGGTGTGACGTTGTCTACCTCCTCAGTCTTAACCTCGTCTGCTGGGCCTGCCACAGGCAAGGCACTCCCCGAGGCTTCCAAGGGCGGTGTCTCCGATGGGGGCTGGACCTCAGGCGTCATCAATGCTGCCTCCAACGGTCCAAAGCTCTCGTTCATCTGGGCCAACTCTGGCCAGGTCCAGGCATCACGGGCCACGAGACCATCTGCATTGGAGCTTGCGCCGAAGTAGGTGGAGGAACCTCTGAATCAACGCCCTCTTGACTGCTGCGGAGTGCAACACCTTCTGTCCAGCATAGTGAAGGCCCATTGACCATACTGCTTTGCTCTTACGAACTGGTTCGGGGCCTCCGGCACTGGGGACCTCCTGCCAGTTTCCAATGGCCTGCTGGTTTGATGGCTGCAAGCCACACACCAGGCCCATGGTGGGCAGGAACCGGCGCAGCCTATTGTAGCCAGCTCCCCGGGCCTGGGCATGATCCACCTGCATGGTGATGAGCGCGCCACGAAGGAGTTCCAGGAAGCGACCCCGCGACATCTTCCTGTTCACCAACCATGCCGTGCCCTCGGTGACCTTCCAGAGATCATCCGAGCTGAGTTGGAGGGCCGGCCACAGGAAATTCAACTGGGGGTTCAGCTCCATGGTCACGAAGTCCCTCACAATACGGTGGATGCTGAGCCCTTGGAACTCCAATTCTGGCATAGCCCACGAGTAGGGAGGTCGCGCTCCACGTCGTCGAGCTTTGCCTTGGGAGCACTCGAAGATCAGGCACTGGGGGTGGCTCTCAATGTAATGTGACCTTTGAAAATGTTCAAAGCGTACACACGAAATAGCTGCCCAGACAAAAATGTCAAAATCAACAAGTGGGTACCTGATGCTTTCTTCATCATCAATAGCAGGTTCACCAGCTCCCAGGGCTGTAGTTCGGTCCCCTGTTGTACCCGATGATCAGGTGGGAGCAGCCTGAAGGGTTGGGTAAGCCAGTGATCTGTATTGAAGTTGAGGCCAAAGGTAACCCTGAACCACTTCAAGGCCTGAAACATCGAGGATGCTGCTGTAGGGCCGCCCTGGGCCACGGCGCGAAAGAATTCGCCCAACTGGAGCGGTGTTGGCTGGGCAACGGCGAAAGCCTTCTCAGAGGCGTACCGCTGCCATCGCCGCAAAGCCGCCAGCAGGGCGCCAATCCTCGCCTCAGTGAGGCGTCCGGTTGACTGCATAATCTGGTCCTTGAACTGCTGCAGTCGTACGGGATCACTCAACTCTTCCCAGGTCACCCCCAGCTCGGCGATGTTGAGGAAATCGCTCAGCAACAAGTCAAAAAGGGCCTGAGTTTTGGTGGCCCTTTTGGCTTCAGCCTTGGTGTGGGGATCGGCTGCCACGGCTGCAAGTAGCATTGGTGGTCGCCCTGGGAACCCAGTCTCCAGCAGCTGACGAACGTGTCCCTTGGGACCTGTGCCTTGAGGCGCCACCACCATTGACGTGGTCTCCACGACCGAAACACGGTTCCCGATCACCGCTCTGGCAACGCGCCTGTGGTGATCTTGGGCCCGGCGAGCGGCAAGCGTCCATAAGGCGCTAACCTGGAATGCTTCTTCGGCGTCCAGGGGGCCTTGGATGTGCTCAAGCTCCGTCACAAATGCCAACCACGTCCTGGCAGGTCTGGACGCCCTGGTGGCAAAATAGCTGCACCAACTCATCAGAGCGCTCGGCAACCAACTCCAGCAAATCGGCCTCCATGGCCTGGTCCGGTTGGCGCACAGTCACAACCGGAATGCGGCCGCGCCCAGGCGACACAGAAGGCGACCGCGGCCTCCTCAGCCTCAGTGGAGGAGGTCCAGGCGGGGGCATGGGCTGCCTAGGAAGTGCCTGCCTCGGTGGAGGCACTGGAGGCTGCTTGGGAGGTACCGGACAGCTGCTCTTTGATGAGGTCTCTGGCCTGCTGGGCTGAGATTCCGAGGATCTGCGCGACCTCCTCAATGGAGACCTGGCTGGAGGTAGCTTCGAAATGGGGTGAATTGGCCCTGTCACCCCACCCGGTGATCTCGACCTGGTCCTCGGTGTCTTGGCCTCCTTCTTCGATGTACGCGGCATGGCCTTGCTCCCAAGAGATGTGATCAAACCTGCACTGATCACAGACCAAGTGCAGGTGATCACACTCAGCGCACACCGCACCGAAGCTCTCAGGCCGGCGGAAGTAGCAGCCCTCGCACCAGGAGGCTGTAAATACTCCACAGCAGCGGCAATGGTCGGCCTGCACGTCCGGCCTGCGCTCAATCGTGTCCCAAATCGACACGATGTAGGCTGACCTGGCCCCCAGATCAGCGCGTCGGTCTTCCACCGACAGCTCGCAGGGATTGCTCCCCCTGTGCCCGCGCCGCCACCGCCGCGCGCCCGGTTGCCACACCGTGAGCGACGTGCGGCGAATCACAGGCATGGCGAAAAACAAAACCCTGCCCTGATCTTGAGCCAAAATGGCATCAAGATCAGGAGTTACCCCTGTATGTTTCAAATCCCAAAGTGTCCCTACCCAACCATCCATTCATTTTGGGAAGATAAAATACATTGCATTCACACCTGAAATATGTATATATATACATACATGTATACATAGATGTCATGTGTCACGAAACAGTAGTGAAAGGCTTCGATTAGAAAGATCTAGAAGGCTCATTGATAAGCCATTCGTGTGTTAATCCGTGTCCTTGCTGGTGTACAAATGTAAAGCTATACCTGTCAAGGTGATGATATGCACATCTTTCTCTTGAAATCGCTCACACCCCTAACCCAGCTGAGCCCAATGACAGCTCTTGCAGTACCAATCTCTACTTCGGTCTTCGTCCTGGGCACCGAGCAAGGCTACTGGCGGCTACTGGCCAAACAAAGAAAAGCACTTGAGAATGGGAGATCGGTCGAAACATATTTCTGTACCGCTTAACTTAGGCTTAAACATACTTGTGTACGGCCTTACTTAGGCTTGCTTGTTGCTTCACTCAAGCCTGAAGTCTTCACTCGGACCATGACGCGATGGTCCAAGGCGGGTTGTGCTTCACTCGACCGTAGATGGACGAATAATCCGAGCCACCCCATTCGAGCCACCTTGAGCCCGAAAACATGCTAAGTGAAGGAAGTCGCCTTCAACATTTGGGGATAAGAGATTTCTGTCGATTCGAATATTTTGTCAATCTATATGACTGTGATGTACACCTTTCAGCACTAGTCGAGCGAGCGAGAGCGAGAAGAAAGAGAGGGAGAGGGAGAGGGAGAGGGAGAGGGAGAAAGAAAGAGAGAGAAACAGAGAGCGAGAGAGAGAGAGGGAGAGAGAGAGAGAGAGGTCAATACACAAGCGCTACCTAATTCACGTGACATCGAAAGCGACCGAATCGGCTATATATGTCCTTCTGTATCTTCTTTTGGTGTCTTTGATCTTTGTACTATATATATATATATCAGATACCAGTGGCTCATTTATAACAAAAAGTAAAGAAACAAGATACTTCATGAGAAGCATCCACAAAAAAATCCAAGGAATAGTAAAAAGAATGTCATTGTTATTCTTTTCCTTGTCATTATTTTACTAATCCTCTGTTAAAAGGATCGAACAGGAAAAAAACAAACGACATGGGAAGGGTCAACTGATGAAGGAGCAGAACAGAATATGTTGATGCCTTAGCAACTAACCTCTTCAGTAAACAAAGTCCAGTTTGCTTGGCACGCAAGTAGCCAGGATGTGATTTTCTCCAGCTCCATCGGTGCCATTCCCGCCAGCCGCCGCCGAACGCGTTCAGCGTTTTTCGTCTAACGCGTTTCGTTCAGCTCGCCGCTCCCGCCGAACGCCGGGGATTTCCACGTCCTGCAATCCCGTGGAGCGGTGAGCGTTGAAGAATTGCGCCCGCACCCCAGCGCCGTAGTCCCTGTGGAGACCGTGGGACGTGATTTCACGCGGTGATGCTTGGGGCCCAAGATGGATCAAGCACTGGGGATGAAAACCTGTTCACCAAGGAGGTCAATGTGCAGTGATTGGTGGGGCTAGCAGGCAGGTTTGAAGCATTCTGCTCTCCCTCCAGCTTACACTAAGGGGCTGACCCGCTCAAGTAAACTCTGGGTCAGTTTTGCCACAATTGATCATCAAATTCATCCTGAGTACCTCAGAATTCCACCAAACTTGAAGGACTACACATACATCTCTGTCGCATCCTGGGTGAGGGGCATCTTGGGCCAGTAGCGTAAAGCAACTGCATTTCCCAACTTGTCAGCTTAAAGCAACAGGTTCCAGGATGCAGCTGGGAGGCCAGGGTTAAAATGTAATTGTCAAGAAGCATCGAGACTGCATACCCTTGTGCAGTGTAGCTAGTGAGCAGCTAGTGTAGTCCTTTACCTTTCTGATCCGGATCTCAACCCAGCCACATGTATCTCCATCCCAGCGCTGTTCCAACCCCCACCCCAGAAAGTGGTTACCAATTGACTTCCATCCCCTCCCCCGCGGCCTTCCATCCCTTTCACTCTCGTCCTGCCTGTTTGCCCCGTAGGAACTACCCTTGAAGTCGCTGACGTCACCCAAGGCGCGCAGATTCCGTGCCTGTTTCGGCTGGTGGCTGGCGCTTTCTTCGAGAAGAGAACCCTTAGGGGAGGGAGAACGAAAAAGAACCACTGGGGAACGGTTTCCAGGCGGAAGTCTGGTTTCCAGTGGATGCCTCAGATCCCAAAACCATGCATGGGATCTTCACGGAGTTGGGATCTTCACAGCTGTCTTGGGGGGGGATCTCACAACTTGTCGGGGACCACTGACCCGGACCTCCGGTCCCTTCGCCATGTGTTTCGAGTTCGGGCGCCTGCAACTTCCCGTCCGAGAAGCGATGGATTTCGAACCTGGGAACTGGAACTGGGACGTTGGGAAGCTGCCAACCTTGGGAGACCTGTCTTTTCTTTCCGGTGAATGGAAAAACACCCAGAACGTCGCAAAATTCCGACCTCAGGCCTGTAATCGTTGGAGGGTCTATACCACCGCTTGCAAGGATCATCTGTGTGTGTGTGTGTTGCCTAAAGGGATATAATATGATGTCTGTATGACACTTTAAGCGAGTCCCTTATACTTATCTACCAGTTGTTTGTGCTCATTGACCACCATCCAGGCAAGGGTTGGCACGTGGCGGTCAATGAGTCAAATGGTTCTTGGCCTGTCGGGTCATCCTGCAGCGTCCCCAACCCTTTCGACTCTGGATTTGGATGATGAGCGTCTTTACGTGTCAACATAGCGATCAATGTGTTGGCGGGAGAAAATAAGGGAATGACCAGCTGTCATTGGGCGAGGAACCTTCTGAGTCTAGCAGGGTCAAGCCTCTGTATCCAAGCAAAGATCTATCCCTGAAGTAGTTGCTGATGATAGGGAAAAAAAGGGGAAAGGAACTACTGTAGGACCACGGTGCGTAGAAGGACCCCGGTGCGTAGATGGCCGCGGTGTGTTTGTTTTGTTTTTTCGCGTACTTCGCGTACGTTCCTTTGCTGTTTCCTGAAAGGGCCACTGGGGAGACTGTTAGCACTATTTACTATCACGTTTAATTGTGTATTTTTACGTGGTTTTTGAGTGTGCCGACTATTTACCCTCATGTTCACAAAGTGTTTACAATGGTTCCATTTTCTTTTCAATGGTGGGTTGCAGACTTTCTGCGGCGGGCAAGTCACAATATCTTTGTAAACGGTTGATGTATAAAACAACAGATCAACCGTGCTAGATCAACATAGATTAACATGGTTTCTGCAAGACCTTGAGAATAAGATAGAATAAGGTATCCATCCATATCCATCCCATGTTGGTGTTACGAATGAAACGAGTCCAAGGATTTCCTTGGTGTTCTTGCAAATGAAGATATCCGCTCCTCTGCAACCGGACGGCCTGTAGAAAAGAGAATACCTGATGCGGTTCCCAGAGGTGTAGAAAAACGAAGTATAGTTTCGGGGGGTTCCTGACAAGATGTAACATGTGCTCCTCGTTGCAGCGAAACGCACAGGTTGCACTCTCCCCAGTCAGGTTGCAGTCTCAACACTACAAATTCCCAGGTACGTGAGGAACAGTCAGGCTAAAGGTTTACAACGTCTTGAAGTTGTCCAATTCATGAGAAAACCCCACGGCCATCTACACACTGTGGACCATGTAGTTCAACTGCATGATTCCCGGCAGAATTGTTCCAAGCTCGAGCAACTCTTAGAATGGACCAAGGGGGAGAGGAAATCGACCACTCCCAGCGAAACATCGCTGACAACCAAGCAGACTTTGTGTGGGCCCGAATCCCAAACAGAATCACCAAAACGATTGGTCAACCTGGAAAATTGACCCAAATGGACCGACCAGTTGACCAATGGGGGGCCGTTGTCCACCGCACCCAACCTGCGCAGTTCTCCCCGTCCGAACTTCCTTTGAACTTCCGCATCGAGCGGCTGGATCTGCTCGCCCGCGAGGTCCGACGTCTGCAGGTTGGGGTGCAAACCTGTCGGTGCACCGCCGCGGAGGCTCAGAGAGACGCCGCAGAAGGCTCTCGAGGTCCACCGCAGGGACACGGGTTCCGCCCCGTCGGAAACAGCGGGACGGTCCGAGAGGGCTCAGAAACAGTGGAATAAGAGGTCGGGCGGGGGCGCCATGTGGATGTTTGTGAGTTTTGGACCTGATCACCGGAGAAACATGGCTTGAAAGCATGCATGAAAGCATGCATGATTGAAGTATTATTGAAGGGGATTGAAAGGCTGCATTGCTTCCGGCATTGCGTCTGTTTGTTCGGAAGGCCTGGGAGGTTCCTCCCTACTCATTTGAGCCACCCAATGCACTCCCTTCGACCCGAGCTCGCCCCTCCAGGGCCCCCCACTCTCCCGTGAGAAGTAGATGTCCTGTTCGATCGCCTCGCTTTCGCTCGGCCGAGCTTGCTCGGCGGAGCTCGTCGCTGTCCATGGCCGGTGGGAAGGACGCCACCAGACGGAGCCCGGAGGGAGAAGGAACCGGCGTAGTTTGGGATGGGACCGCTTTGGGGGTCAGAAGCAGCTTGCTTATGTTGGCTGATCTGTACGACAGGTCTTTGTTGGTTTATGGGGACAGTGGGTTCTTCCCGTGTTCTTGCTCCAAAAATTGCTGGCGGTCGACCAGCGTGCTATAGTCATCATGTCCCATAGCCTTCTTCTGTGTTTTTTTGCACGCATCCCTCGACGGCGATCCCAGAAACCTCGGTGAAAAAATAACCGTTTCTGCCTTTCAGAAGACCTGGTGCTTGCCGCTGGCCCACAGCGGAAAATCCGCTGTTCGCAGTGGCCTGGCACATGATGAAGCCAAAGCCACGGCGGTTGTAGCTCTTCACCATGCCAGTCCTCAGACCATCGGGTCCGGTGAATGCGTCGGGCGAGACACCTGGCGATGCCCAAACCGATGCGAACCGGTCGACGGACGGTGTTGGGGAACAGGAGTTGTAACCAGGAAAAGGCGAAGCGGTCTGGTTACAAAGGCATAACTGCATGGTCTAGTCAGCTTTACGCAGTCTCATCAAATCAGAAAATGGTTTGCGAACAACAAGGGTGTACAAGCTCGTAGATTGTGGCTGGGGTCCCCCAACACCAGCGCTCTCGATTCGTGTCGAGAAAAGTCGGAAGGTGGAACCAGCATCCCGCGGACTGATACTGAAACAAGGATTGCCCAAGCCAAAATATCCAAAAACCATGTGATGTGCTCCTTCTTTGAATAGGTACCCGGAGGCACAACCCCCGTCGATCGACTCGTTTTTTGCAAAAAAACGGTGAAAAAGGTTCGCAAGTGCACGTTGCACCCAATACATGGGTTTATAGGCGTTTGGTACAACATGGTGCAAGATTGCTGCACTTTGTGGATGGTTTAGAACAAATACTGTCAAATCCGATACGTGTGCCATCTATGAACACAGCCCCGCCAGGTGTAATGCAAGAGAACCAGGGATCCATTATGGTCCATTTTCTATTGACAAAAGGCAACAGTACTTCACAGGTAAGTTTCTTCTCACCTTTTAGCAATGTTGAGAGCAGCCTTTCCTCTGGTGTTGAACAAAAGCCTGTGATCACTTCTTCCCCACAAATAAACCCCAAAACCAGTGGTTTATTTGCAAATTGGTTCCTTTCGCCGGCCCCCAACTGCGGAGGGTAAACATACGGGAGGGAGGGGATTCACCTACAGCCTTTGCTGAGTTCACACGGTGTGCTCAAAGAAAATAGCACGCAGGACGCAGGCCTCTAACACTGTAACTTTTGTAGATGTATACAGAGGGAAATACTCTTCTAATCTCTTCTATCCTAAACCTGTACTGCAACTTCTTCAAAGATGCTTAGAACCAAGTGCTCAATTCCTTTCGTTTCTCAGAAAACATTCATATCGCAGGGAATCTGACTGATGGTACCCAAAACCTCAAGAGTCTCATCGGGAACTCTGCCTTCCAGTTTGGGAAGCGCCAAGGAACATGGTCTGACCAGATCTCAGGTGTGCAGACATCCCCTGCGCTGGTGGGATTTGGAAGAACTGGGCGTGCTGGAGGGGGGGCACAACTTGCAAGGTCTTCATCGGAACTGGGGGGGTCCCAGAGTCCCAGAAAGAAGAAATTTGGACAAGTCCAACTCGACTCCAGAAGCCAAACATGCCAAACACGCGAACTCAGCTTAACCGTCCATAGGCCTAAATTAGTCTCTAAGCGATGAGTCCCAACCATCCTGCAAGTCGACCACGGGTCTGTGCTCAGTTAGCGATCTTCCTGTACACGAAGCACGTATTGGAATATAGGCAGAACCCCCAAACCACAATTCCAATTTCGTGTGGAATAAATGAGTTTGATTCTATATAACTCCTCATGTCGACCAGGGCTTCCGTCAGCCCAGAGATCCAGGACTTGCAGAAAGGCACGAGAATCACCCACAAACAAATCCGCTTCAGATCACAGTGCTTCAGTTTGATCGTCTGCTTCTTTTGAAAAAGGACATCGAGGTTCACAGTGCTTCAGTTCCTGACACCTGACGTGACACCGGTCTCACGACCCTCTCCGCCGGACAGGGCGGCGTCCGGCCGGTCAGCGATCAGGTCGGATCAATGGCAAGGTCCCATGGCATCGTCCCATGGCAGGAGCGCGTGGCATCATCCCCCAAAATGCGTTGGAGAGCTGTTGACGTGTTCGTTGTTCCCTCCATTTGGAGGGAAAGCAGTGGCCGTTGATGGTACGGCGTGACGGGCTGGTCTTGGGAACCCAGGTTTTGTCAGCAGCATGGGACGTCACGCGAGTGGGTAGAACTTTCTTCGACGAGATGTGGTGCGGTTCGACGAGGGCGTCACAAGTTCTACTAAAGCCTCAACTGAACTGGTTAAGGTAACCTACTCGTGGTTAAGGTAACCAGCTCGTGGTTAAGTGATAGCCTCAACTGATGAACTGAGGAACCCTACCCACATGTTTACGCGGTTCCTGACAGGACGGTTAGTTCGGACGGTTTTTGGGACCAATCGGATCGGCCAACCGAACTTTCGTGGATGTAGCGGACCATTCGGACGCGTCGAACGGTTGGAAAGGACACTCGAATGAGAGCTGCTATGTATCCAAACAAGGTTCTTCTCGGTTTTTGATCGCAGGGTGTCAGGGGACCCCTTTCAACTGCACGGAAGTTGTGCGCAAACAGTGCCACCTCAACCAGAAACACCAGCACGAGCGCATAATTCCAGCTTGATATGGGTCGGGTTCTGTCAAGATTGCGGAGCTAACCTTCCAGATCTTGCTTGCTGGTCCTTCATTGAGCTACGTCTGAGCACAGCAGCAGGGCGCACATGACATTGTTTTTGTTGAGGGAGTTGGGAAGAAATAGATCCCAAAATGGCAGCTGAAAGGAACGCGTGACAAAATAGCAACTCGGAATCCAAGTCGTGCCTACATGAACAGTCCAACGATTCTTTGCTGCCGATTGGACCCTGGCAGCGGATCGCGGCCACCTCATACCGGCAGAAACACCTCCCAGGGGGATTTCACGTGGCTGCTTTGTGTCTATCTTTTTTGCCCCGTGTCGAGGCTAAGACCTAAGACATTGTCCATGAATTCCATCAACACACCCCGACCCTGCCCTGGTGGTTCTGACTCGTCCATCTTGTCGATGAGTGTGACCCTTCCCAGACGCATCACTTTTCTTCTCAGCTCTTGGGCCCTTTTGGATAGGTCACCCCATCGAGCAAGCAAGCGGGTTTCATGGCATAATATTATTACACTCCGACTCACTAACATGGAAGTGGAAACCACCCTGCTTGTAGAGGAAAATTGTCTTCCCAAAGTTCCATTTCCATATTAGTGAATACACCATACTACACCCGACACCCAGTGATTGGACGTCCTGACAGCGCGAATCGTGTGGGCATCAAGTGAGTCAAACTTTTCTGGGAATATATAATCATAAAAAGGATGACCATGTTTCGAACACTCAACAAGTTATCAACTTCACTAACCCATGACTACTTCAAGGATTGTCTACATTCTAAACCATATTTGCCTCATCCAAGTCTCTCAAAATGAGGGTAACCCCCCACCAAACGTCCCTGCTTCGCGCCCGAAACGCTGTGGTTGTTTTCCTCAGCCCTCTGGGCTCAACGACCGGTAGCCATCCGGCCCAGATGCCTCAAGCAGAGACTGAGGATCCAACAGACAGAAGGAGTGACCCTCGGGGACCTTCAGATCCACAAGAAGGCCTTCAGAAGGCCTTCAGAAGGCCATCAGTGCTGACATCTTGCTTCACGATTGGCAGCGAGATTGGCAGCAGGCAGCGACCCCAGAGAGCAACAAGACAAAGGATCACAACGCAAAATCACGTACTGTGCTAATAACTCTGAGGTGGCCCCGAACCCAGTTGCGTTAGATGACATTTGGAGGTTGGCATGGATGACAGAAACGAACAATGCAATACAATACAATACAGATATTGCCATTGCGGGTATTGCCGGAAGAACGGACCTTCTTTGCCCAGTTTGCTACATCAGTTTGCTACATCTGCAGTTTGCTCGATTTGTCTGAGATCTTCGACCCCTGTCGTTGAAAGGCGGCAATTCATCGGCCTTTCATCGGACCGAAGTCGATGAATTGAGATGCGGACCCTGCGGACCGACATGACATGGCCCTGGTCAATACCACAGTGACATGGATGGACCAAGAGTTCTCTCTACATGTCAAGTCCAAACAAAAAGGTATATACCCAGAGCATCCCGCGAGCTTGGAGGCCTAAGTCATCTTCCCTCATCTTCCTCCACGATGGATGAGGTAGATGTATAAGTGTAAGACTGGGGACCACTTGTCTTGATCACCTTCGCGAGGTCCGGGTGCTACCGACTCGCAGCACCAAGACCGATGTTCAGAAGGACCACATCCGACACCACACCCTGAGGGCCCCAAATGAGTCGACTCCAAATCTGAACCCTGGAAACCCAGTCCAAACTGGACACAAATGCGGGTTCCAATATGACAACTGAAAATGGCGGGGACTGGGGAGTTCCATCCATTTGTTTCTGGTCAACTGCGTCAAATGCTGCTCCTTGCCTTGGCTCCATAGTTGTCCACCAACCAGGCAGAAGAGGACAGGTGGGGGTAGCACCTGGTCCGGTGGTCTGGGTGATCATGGATGCTTCGGACCACCTCCGGTTGTCCATCCGAGGGCACGCTCCGCACGAGAACAGAACTGCGTACATCCACCGAACAGAACTGCGTGGTGCTGGGAGCAACGCACAGCAAGGACTGCTTCCAGGGGGGTTCCCCTTGGCGTTTCGTTTTTTTGGGGCGTTGCTTTGTGCTCGGTGTTGGGACTCCTTGAGTCAATCTTGGGACGGAAAGAGTCGCTTTTTGGCACGGTTGGTCGGCGTGACTTGCCACCCGCTCGGTGTTGGGAGGTCGGTGGTTGCACCCGCAGGTCGCTACGGTGACCACTGTGTCAGCAGGACCAGCAGGATTACACGGTCAGATGAGTCGGGAATGTATCCTCTGCAAGACTGGTGATAACACACATGGGAATATCTTTAAATGATCAACTGGGATTGACATCTCGACCCCCAACTGAATACTGCATCCATTTTTCGGAATGAAAAAACAAGAATATATGTGTATGATATGTAACATGTGATGTGAGTTCAAAGAATGAACAAACTCAAAGCTCCCGGTTCTCTTCCGGAGTTCGCCAAGAACTGTCCGCCCTCGGGAACAAGAAAACTCGACCTCGCGTCGCTGGCGTCCGCCTCTGCAACAGCGCGAAATGGCCAAAGCCCAAGATTGCTCCCAAAACGGCGCCCGAGAAGACCTACCGGACAGCGGGAGTGGAGAGATTGGTGGTCCAAGAGTGGGCACACCGATGGATCTATGGAAACCGCCTGGAACCCCAAAGAACCAGAAACAAATGATATGGCAATTGAGAACCTTTACATAGTAAGTGAGGTATTATTGTACGATTTGGGTTCTGGTTGCGTCACCAGTGAGTTTCGATCGAATTCGAGTGTATCCACGGAACTCCACCAAAAGGTGAGCCGCATTGGCAACTGAACACATCCACCAGCGATCTCCTTCTTGGAACAATGGAGGGGTTCTTTTACCTATCGGGGGTGTCCCCCCTTGATAAATCAACTAACCAACTGTAATAAGCCTATGACCTCCACCACTCCACCACCAGCTTTCAATTTTCTTTTAGAACCCCAAATACATCCAAATACCAAGACCTCCAAGACCAGACAAATGCCTCATTCTCCACTTCCCCCGAGACGTCGAGAAGACGCCTGGAGTGGGGTGTGATCCATCAAGTGAACCTTGGCCCAGGTCACCGGCACGTGGATCGCCACCACCTGGGCGGAGTGTCTGCGCAGTTCTTTCGTCGGTGTTGCAACCATCTGGCAACGCCCGGTCGTTTCCCAGGAGAAACTGATCCAGAGGCACAGCTCCTGAGGTCCTGGTTTCACATGTCCTTCTGAACTTTTCAAACGGGGTGACACCCCCGGCATGCGCCCAAACGGGAGCGGACGACCAAAGGGACACCTGAAAGGGGTCACGGAGAAGCAGCACAACAAAGGGATGATCTTTGGGAAAAAGCCTTTGGGACAAAGCTACTGGCCCTTTGGGACGAAGAATTCCGAGTATCCCTGAATGAGTCACCGGTGAACAGAACACATGACACCCATCCTGCAGGTCATGTGCTTTTCTCGAGCCATATCCACCTGAGTGGATGGCCTTTTCACCAAGCAGCACAGTCTTGACCAAACAACATCATCTATCGCACACATTCCACCCATGTTCTACGTCCCTCATCGAATATCTGTCCAAGGAAGAAAAAAAGAAAAGACTCCAACTCAAAATCGATGCTTTAGATCACAAGAAAGGTTCACAACAAAGTGATTCAGTGATTGCAATAATGAATTCGATACACCTCGATAGTCTAATATATAGTATATATATATATGCTTGGTTTCTTGGTGGATGATCGTATGATGATCTCAAAGTCCAGCAAAAAAAAGCAAGCCTGGCCCAGCATCCGAAGATGATGCATGGGATGGGCTTTCATGGTTCCGGGCCAATCTTGGAAAATCAAACAAAAGGTGGTGGCCAGGCCCTAAGAAGGACCATCGGACAGGCAACCTTGCAAAGTCACATATTCAAAGGTGTTATTGTAACACCATCTAAGTCTTCAAGACTCAATTCTTTCGGTATACAACTAAATAAGCGCGGCAACTGTTGACCAAACAGGTCTCGGGAAAGCGGATCTACATTATGTCTCTCACAAGACAAGTCAAGTGGTCATCTACATGCACAAGATCTATCAAGATCTACTTTGTGCTATCTCCCAGCCCTCTGGGGCTTGTCTCAAGCTAGGAAGAATTCTTCGTCTTGAAACCAACCCGTGGGGATCCATGGGGGGCAGTCCGATCCATGCTTCTCCCGGTCCAATACCCCATCGCCAGTCCAGCGGCCAGAAGGACGCCCCCCCAGCGTCTCCTTGGCGCCGCCGGAGCTTCGGCGACGTGCCAAAAGAGTTAAGGGATGATGTAACACTCCCTGAAATCAACATGGGCTAGTGGAAACCAACCCCCGCCACCACCTGTTTGGTCTGATTTAAAAGGGTCCTTCCAAATCGGGGCTGTGGCGGGTCATGCCATCCACATAACCATGATGATTTCAGGGAGTGTAAGGGCTTCTTGGGAGGAGAGATTGGGAGGAGACCAGGAGCAGGAAAAAAGAAATCGGACTTTTGGGAGAACTTGGTCAGGTGGAGTGTGTATATATATATATATAATGGTCATCAAGGAGCAACATCCCCAAAGAAGTGGCGCATTCGGGGCTGGTACGTTTAGGCATTACCCTTTCCAATCAGAAGTGTAAGACCCTTCCGGCCTTTTCAACCCAAGAGGTTCACCATGCGAAAGACCCGTGTTTCTGCTTCACCGGGGTTTCTGCTTCACCGGGGCAAGGGCGCCAGTGGATTTCCAAGAAGGGACTTCCAGTCTGGAGGATTGAGGATCCAACACCTTGAATGTTTCAGCGTTCCATTGGACAGAATCGGATGCTATCAATTTGGATGCCAACATCTCAAAGGACCAAGTCGGACCATCCCATTCCATCCGAGAGCTTCTGTATTATATACACCGGAGAAGATGAACATGGAACCTGAAAATGGACCTTTGGAAGACTAGTTTCCTCCATCAAAACAGGGATTTTTCCGGTTCCATGTCATGTGGGTCTCTTCCAGGGCGTCATGTTCCAGTGTGATCCCATGCGATCTTTCAAAATGAAGTTCCTTTATGCGATCTTTTGGCTGGCTACTAGGAGCAAGGACGCTATTAGGTGGAGGCCATCGCAAGTACCTTGGAGGCCATCGCTACTAGGAGCGTAGCTTGGTGTATTCATGTGAGCTCATGAGATTCGCAAGTGCCTCAAGTGCCTTCTCTGCATGCACTGCTATTCATGGACAAACCCCTGCACTTCCTTGACCACCTGATCATCTACAGAAACAACGAAGAGAAAGAAACGGTCCCAATGGAACCATCGGATTGGCTCCGGTTTCAGATCAGCACTCGCCCACCCATTTGGCGAGGTGCAGGCCTTTCTGGCGTGCGACAAGTTCGCAGGAGAGCCAACACGTCAAAGAGATGCAAATCACCTGAGACACGGAAATCACGCGACCAACACGGCCGGCTGCCTTTGGGGCCAAAAAAGTGGACGCTGCGGTCGCTCACTCTCCATTCTATGTGCTATGCGCTAGGATCCAGGCTCACAGGGCTCGTTCTTCTGTAGAGTAGTCTGTTGCGCCGCCCCTCTTTGGAAGCGGGCATGGCCCAAGGTATGGGCATGGGTTCAAAACTGTGATACATAGGGCTTCGAGCCCAAGTCCGTGAACAGTTACATAGTGATACAGTTATGTTATATTACATATATGGGGAATAAGAGGCAGGCTAGCGCTTGTAACCCGTTCCTTCTGGATGTTCACATCTGCTACCGGCCCACACCCAACTGTACCTTTGGACTCACATCCAAGCGCACCACTCGCAGTCCCTCCAACCAAGGGGCTGCATGGCCGCTTGGCAAGCCGCAAGAAGGCAAACAGCTCCTTGGCGACAAAGGAACTCCCATCGGTTCGACACAAACATTGGACACTCCAGCGAAACGGACAAGTGTCAAAGCCATCTGACCTTTCAGTCGGTGCACGGAAAGACCCTTTTGGAGACACCAAACCCCCGAGCCTCTGGAACCACTCTTGGCCAAGTGCGCCAAAACCGTGCGCGAAAAGGTGGTCGACTACTGTGGATGATTTTGTGTGTCGGCTCCTAGCGATGGCCTCCACCGAGCATCAGCGTTCCGATCGCTTTTTCTTGGATTTCACCCCTTGCCTTCGACGTTTCGGCCGAATCCCTCGGTCACTGGTTTCGGTTGCGCAAATCCGGCCGCCGGAAAAGGGGGTGGTGTGAAGTCGGACGCACCGCGTCACAAAACGAGGGGCGGAGCGGGAGAATTGATCTGACTCCAAGACTCTCCGCGGGCCGCGGTTCTTGCAAGGCAGCTTGCAGGACAAGGATCCTTAGAGCAGAAGCTCATCCGTATCCTCTGGGTTTGACCATCGGCGTGACGTTCCCAAGGAACTCAGTAACGGTCAACTTCACTCGCCAGTTCTGGAGTAGATTCCATGGGCGCAATTCCTTGGATGTTCACCTTCTTCCATGCGATAGCCTCTAGGTTCACAGTTCAAAGGTGGACAATTCCTTGGATGTCCAGGTTCTTTATCGCTTCCCACTTGACACCATTTTCAATCAAGGCCATGCGAGATTGGTGCCTACATGCACCTCAAAGAGGATGTTATTCCGATGGAGCCACATTACCAGCCCTTGGCTAAGGGAGCAGTCTCTGAAATCGGATCTGAAACTCTGTTTGATTTCAAGATGGGCAACGGCTACTCTTCGTGTCAGGAAAGAGTACCAAGCAGATTGCTACCCCCTCAAAGTAAAATCAGCCCCTGGCCCCTTCAATTCAATTGCCAAGTTAAGTAGAACATCTATACTGTATACATCTCTAATACAAAATATTGGAGCACGGCGTTCTCGACTGCCATATCAGATTTCGATTGGCACTGTTCATTAATTTTGCCAACGGAAAAATAAATTCTTTCAGCTTGCTGGTGAAACCAAGACTGAAACTGAACAAATGTTCCAGTTGCTTAATGTGTGTTGTATTGAATGTTTTCTTCCACCCAGCCGCACCCCATTGTTTAGGGTGTGGTACCCACTCCACGGCCAACTCATTATAATCTCGCGTCGCCACGTCGTCCAGCAAAAGCAGCGCAGTCAGGGAGAGCTCCCGCAAGCCGCGGGGAGTGCGGAGCATTAAGAGCAGCCACAAGAGCGTCCAGTCCTTGCCGATAGGATGTGGCCCGGAATTGAGTGAAAACATCACATACCCCCAGTGGAGACCAAGTCCGCGCTGTCCAATTGTTATAAAATTCTATATAAGTAAATTGAATACTAATTCTATTTGTTTATTCTAATTCTTGTTTCCAATAGCTTCTTGCTCCTAGTAGTAAGGCCAGGAGCCCCTAGTAGCGTCCTTGCTCCTAGTAGCGATGCCAGGAGCCCGTAGTAGCGAACATTGTTCCTGGTAGCGTCCTCTACCACCCATGGCACACCGGGAACTTCATGTCACACAGGACCAAACTCCCGCTGCGCAGGAGCAAGGACGCTACGCTAGGAGCAAAGGGCATCGCTACTATACAGGAGCAATGTTCGCTACTAGGGGGTTGTTCTTCAACTGCAGAGTAGAGAACCTCACAAATACCTCTTCCAGCAAAAAGAGTATCCAATGAGTGTCTTCTGTGGTGAAGGAAAATGGGTCCATCAGAAGAAATGTAAATCCCCATCACCTTTCAAACGAGTAATTGGCACAGTGAATGCTTCAATATCTGGTGTGAGATTCCTGAGATTCCTGAGAACTCATAGGTCTGATTGAGACCTCTAAGATCTCTGAGCTCCTTACCCTGCGAAACTGAAATCATGTTGAAGTCCCAGAGTCAAAGGGCAGCGTGCAGAAGACTGCCGCGCACCTCTGACCCAAGCTTGTGCACCAGGGAGTTGGACCGAGGACTGAGGACTGAAGCTTTACAGCATAGTAATTCCTCCTTGGGAGGGCTGGGACCCTTGCCTGCCCTGAATATCTGCAAGCAACCGATGGCCAATGTAGAGACGAGGGTGATATGTGAGGATCCGTTCCCTCTTGCAAGACTCTTGTCTTTCAGGAGGTTCAGTTCGGACTTTGAAAAGACCAGAAAGTCGCATGGGAAAAAGCGGGGAATTCAACAGGCCACAAAGGAAGCTGCAAAATAAAAAAAAGAATACTATTCCAGGGTTCCACATCCCGCTTTCAGCAAAAGCCTTTGACCATGCACCAAAGAAGGAATCCAGTTTCAGACGTTCATTGGCCCATGCGAGTGGTGACCCCTATGCCCACTGAAGTGGCGGACACGGTCTTCATCTTCCTCTGCCAGCTTGGTGCAATCTTCCCAGGTTGGAAACCTCCCGACCAAGAGCCGAGCCCAGTTGTAGACGGAGGCACCAGTCTATGGGCTGCGGGTGAAATGGCAAGGTGAAGGTGGAGAAGGGCAAAAGCACCTGGAAACAGCGGAGGGCAACAGTTGGCCCGCTGAGCGGATTTCAGCGAGAAAGTCCATTTGGTTGATTCGAAATGGTTTTATAGTTCAGCACACAACAGGCTTCATCATCTTAATGATTCTTAATGGGCGTTCCCAAGCATCAAAACCAAGATCAAAAAAAGAACCACTGTGCGCCCCACACCCCTAGCGGGGCCGCTCGCTTAAGCCGCTCTCGCTTAAGCCGCTGCCCGGGTCTGACGTCGCGGAGGCTGTCCGAGTTCAGCCAGTTCGAGGCTGACGGGCTCGCAGTGCCAACCTTCAGACCCTCCTGTCTGGGTGTACCAGGGATCTCCAGCCAGGACGGTCCCGGGACTTTGCTTTTGGTGCTCTGATCCACTTACCATGGCCTCCTATGCACTACAAGTGCTGCGAGCAGCTTTGGGATCAGTGTTGGTGACTCGGGGATCGCGATCGAGGTTGTGCAGAAAGAACATGTTGTAACTGGAAAAATGAGCTCTCCGGTTAAGCCACTCTCGTGCGAGGTCTTTCTTTCCATTTGTCTTCTGGCTCTTCGAGCAAACCGTGCAAGTGCCCTTGTCCAAATGTATCCCAAAAAGGCATGCCACACTAGTTGGTAGAGGAAAAAGAAAAACGTCGAGCCAACCGAAGATCAGACCACTGACTCCTGACTTGGTGTCAGTTGTAGGCTCCATGGCAGGAGTTCCACAACCCTCTTTGTCACACTCCCTCCCTGAGTTCAGTCGTAACTCCCAACCAAATCGAACCCGAAAAGCCAGCTAGACTGTTGATTTCCCGGGTGTTCCCTCCTATATATATATATATGCTTCTGACTACTATACAATATAGATATTAGATGTGGAAGAAATGGACCTGCTGCGTCCGATTACATGTGTCTACAAGGGTTGGGGCCTTACCATCCAAGTTCACCACAGTCTGCCAATGATTCAAAAAAGCACAGAGAGATAATGACCCTGCTGAAAAAGGTTCTTCTCCAAACCTCCGCAGAATTCGTCTGTCGTATCTGACATATACTGTATATATATATATGTATATGTATATATATATATATATGTATATCAACCGTCGAATCCCATGCCATGGCACATGAATCCCATGTGGACAGCTGCGCCCCTCTTGGTACCACAACGGATCACAAGGGTTGCCCGCCATGGCGCAAGGCATGCAACACGCGACTCGTTGTCGCGACAAGCAATGAAGTAATGAGGTCGTCGTCCGGCCATCCCAACGCTCCAAAAAAGACCCAGCTCTCCGTGAGTCAACGAAGTTCTGCTTCGTGACTCGTGACACCTGCTTTCCCCCCTTGGTGCTGTTTGGGTGCTCAACTTGCGGCATGATTCTGTTCCACCGTGAATCTCGCCACCTGCACAAGTTCCCCAAACAGCGGGACACTCTTCACTTCCTCTCTTCGTCCTGAGTCCGACTTGAATCCCGGTGTCCCCGACTTGCCACTCTGCAAAAGGGTTGGATTTGGTTCTGGTGTTGCCCTCCTTTTCTCAATGTTCTCCCACACTGCTTTGAATCCTTTTTCGGAGTTGTTGGTGCTTTGGTTCCCCATACATCTTTACCACTTACCTCCTTTCTTGACCATGTTGCCCACTTCTTGGCTTCCGTGGCAGTTGCTTATACCTCTTGATCCAGGATGTTGTTGTCTTGGTGTCCATGTTCTGCATGCACCTACGGAGCCTCAGCTGCGGTGCGAAGGTACCATTTGGAGACCTTGGCCGGTCGAATCTGAAGGAGTTCTGAATGGTCAAACCCAACTCAGCTGGACACCAATATATAGTTTTCTCTGATGGATCGAACCACAATGAGGAGATACAATGATTTGACGATCGGGTTGGGAACAGGTTGTGCAGGGTGTCCATCAACCGGTCAAAGCTTGCTACAGTCTGAGGTCGCAGGTGCTTGGGTATTCGCATCAAGAAAAAAGTCAACTGGCTTCTGAGCTAATTAAGCACCAAAAAAAGACACAAGCTGTGCTTAGCTTAGCTTCTAAGCTGTGCTTAGCTGTGACCCGTGCTTCTAAGCTAAGCTAAGCTGTAAGAACTTGTGAGCCAGGGTCCAGATGCACTGGAAAGGCCTTGGGCTCTTGGTGAACTCTCTGAAACCCCCGTCGAACCACCGACAGCATGGCCAGGCCCAGTCAGACTGGGAGGCGACTTCCGGAATTGGAGACCTTGACTGGCAGACCCTAAAAAGTAGGAAAAAAAAGAATAACAAAACCAAGCTTGGGGGTAAGTTGTGTCTTCCTTTCTACATTATATCCATATAGAGAGAGAGTAGTCATAAAGGTCCACCATTTCGACAGAGAAAATTCTAAAATCGTAGACACCTTCTCGGCTGTTCTGTTCGTATTTGGGGGCCCGTTTACCAAAAGCATGACAAGAACAAAAAAACTCTAGCTGAAACGCTCATGTACTTTGCCCTGGTGGGCTTTTCTTTTTGGCTGGCCTAGCTCCCCAAAATGTCATAAATCACAACCATACAGTGTCGCAAATTGCAGTCGGATTGGGGACAAATTGTAGAATCCTATGAAGTTCTGGTTTCAAGGTATTTGGATTCCCTGGGAATGCAGATTTCAAGGAGGTTATTTCCTGGGAAATGTTCCAATCGACAACCCTGGCTTATCTGTTTTTTCCTGTCATGGCCTGGCCTAAGCATAAAACGACCCAAAACATGCCAAGGATTTGATACAAAGTACCCTTCCACACAAACCAAAATCAAGACGCGTCCAGGTCCAAGCTGTTTTCACTGTCGCTTAATGGGTGCAAACGGCTGAAAACGGCACCACCCTTTAGACATTCCGGCGTCTCCCCATACCCATGACTTCTGTGGGCAAGACCACCCACATTACGCTGAAAAGTGCTAAAATGGCTGCACGACATGCCATTCCAATTACAACAAATTGATGCTCTGTATGGTTATTTCTTGGGTATTTGCTGCTGCCTGCATCCCTGCATCAAACCCAATTCTCCCCTACCCGTCATTGCCACAAGTGTTCACACAGAAGGGAGGACTGCAACAATAGACGTCCCCTCTAACCAAGCAGATGATCTCATTCGGAGTGCAAAAGGTGCTTATTGCGAACGAGCCATCCGTGACCACACCGAGCGTCTGTGCAGCGTTTCGTGGGGTGAGAACAAGTCGGCTGACCGGGCCAAAGAGAGATCCTCTTGGTGCATGAAGTTTCTTTCAAGGATGGCTTATAGGTCCTTGTTTCGGCTCATCGACCTCATTATATTTTCAGGTCCATAGTTCATGACCAGCTGACCTGGTAGAACCGTAAGTTCGGTTGCGCCTTGGTTGATTTGAGAATGTTGAGGCTTATCTACGATTCCTTTACCAATATCCGTTGTCAATCACTCCCCCAAACAAGGGATCTTCCGTCAAGAGCAGAACCGCTGCCGCCCGATTTTGCAAAGGGCCACGGCGGCCACAAGTGAAAAAAATATGTAAAAATACCCAAAGCTGACTTGCTACAAATTGCACTTGCTGGCCACCGCAAACTTGTTCGGGAGCAGGGAAAGGTGGGAAGATGGATCGGATGCAGCAACCAATGCCCGTCGATCTACCAGAAACACACCAGCACCCCACCAAGAACCACCTCCACCGCGCTCCTTTGGACGCCACTGCCGACCGTTCGCCTCCTGTTCGTCCCCCTTTTCTTCGCCGTGAACGACGGGAGCCCACCGGTCCGGTGCCCTCAACCCGTGATCTCGAAGAGTGAGGGTCCCTCTTCGCGCATCTTGAAGCCCACCTGCCGTCAACGGAGGGGCTGTGTTTCTTCCATCGGTAAACTGAGGAGTGAACCACCTTTTTCCAGATGACAAACAAATGACAACATCTAAAAATAAACTTGAAGAGCTAAAGCTTTGGTGTTTTCCTGGTCTTCCACCGAAGAGTCCCCAAAAATGAGAAGAACGATGTAGCAGCTTTGACCTTGTGAACCGGAGATTGGCCTTGGTGATCTCACTGTCCATGTCACTTCAGAACCGGGGCGGTCTCGACCGTGAAATCACCTTCATCATCCAGTGGTCCATGAGAGGCGTCAGGTCAGAAAGTCTTCACTCACTGATCAGTGACCATCCAAAATACATCACAAATAAATTTGGACCAAAAAAGAGGTCCGGCTTAATATGTGGAGTCACACTCATCTGCTGATGCATAAATAGTCGTGGGAGCATCGTCGTGGGATGTCGTTCTTCACCCCTTCATCTCATACTCACCCAACCCCCTCAGATGGCCATTGGTGCACCTGCCTTAAAGGGCAGCTTCCGACTTCCAGCTTTCAGCGCCATCCGTGCCAACTCCTGCAGGCAAAGGCTGGGAGCGGCTTTTGCACTGAGACATCCCAGTCAAGCCAAGATCTGCAGGTTTTCCTGATCATCATGCGTTAGGGTGTGGGGGTGTGCATGTGTGTGTGTGTGCGTGTGGGTGTGCGGGTGTGTGTACAGGGAAGCAGAAACTGCCGTTTTGTTGTACAACATCAATGCCATCCTGCTTGCTGTGCCCATTGGATTTCAAGATCATATTGGAAAAGAAGTACTGTAAGTGTTGTGCAAAAAGTGTGCCTCTTGTGAAGTGCGTCTCGCTAACACATAGTTTCACTTGGTCTTGCTGTGCATGTGTTTCTTTTCACTGATGCGCATGTATGGAGAATTGAAATTCACCCCAGCTTCGTGAATCTTCCTTCACTGGGTGGTAGTCCGCACCAGACCGTCCGCCTCGGAGTCCACGTTGATCTCAAAGATCACCACGCCAGGCTTGAGGGCCGCGACCCAATATTCGAACTTCCCCTGGCTTTGGGGGGAACCTTGCAGAGAACTTGCGGGGAAGCCATGCCCAGGCTTTAGGGAACTTGAAAGTTGGGGGAGTCTTCCCGACTGTGCCAAGATCCGAATGAAAAAGGGGGAGGGCCCCTTGAAGAAGTGTTCGTGGTTTGTTTGGGGGCCCGAAAGGTCTTGAGGTAATAGACCCTTCACTTCTGAAGCTCTTGTAGTCTCATTCTCATTGCCATGTGGGTCACCCGTCAGATTCGATTTAGGGAGAGACCTCTCGGGCAACGACCTCCTGACCTCCTGGCCTCGGTGCAAGGGAAATCGACCAGTCTACCTAGTCTATCCAGGGGATCTCAACATCAAAACACACCACCCAATTCATCTTCACGACCCCCAGAAGGCCACGCACACGTGCGTGCCCTCGTAGCACATCTGTGCCGCATGCACATGGCGCCCTGAGCGGCTCGGCGCGCGCTTTTCCCCGCGAGCCTTGCTGGCTCCCATCCGGCTGTCTGCGATCCTGGCGGTTTTCTCCGCTTGAATCGATTCCACAGAGTGGCCCCTTGAATGAAACAGCTGCTTCCCCATGACCATCTCTTCTTCCCCAGAAACAAGTCTTGCAGCAAATGTAGATCTGCGTCAGAATGCTTTTGGCTGCCCCTGCTACACCCACACCTCCCTCACTACTCCTTCCACACCCCCACCGGTCCACACCCCCACCGCTCCGCAGAGTCAACGCTCCCGCCGGTCCTCTGCGTAATGGCATTGTGGGGGTACACCCGCAAATAAACCTCCGAATCGTGCTTTTCGTTCGGTCACTGACCCGACGGTTCGCCGAAGAGAGACGAACAGGAACACGGTGTCGTTCGACGGTCCAAGCCGTTTCCGTTCGGTGAGGACTTCGGGGTTCCTGACTTTTGGGGGTGAAGAGGGACCAAATTCCGTTCGGGTTTCGCCTGGAAACCACGCGGTTTCTTCAGCTCCACCCAGTGAAAAAACGAGCCACGAGCCTAACCCGGCAGAATGAGCCACTTCCCCCCCAGCGACCACACGACCACCGCTGATTTCAGCCCTTTGGACAGCTCATCTCACCAGCACTGGGTCTGGGCATGGGACGTTACACTCAACAAACATTGACCTGCCGAAAAAGACATCGAAGATGGTCAATCACCAGGGAGTTTTGCAAGCTCCAAAAACACACTGACCTGGCTAAGGACTTCTGTTGAAAGTTAAGAGACACATCAAGTGAACCATCACGGCAGGGGGAGGCTAGATGGTACGAATCCACATCTGCGCTTAGGAGTTGTGCCACCGGAGCTTCTAAGGTCAATCAAGCGAATTCCGTCCACAGACATGACCTTGTATCACCTACCATTGGGAATTCATGCTTCCCAGTATTTGTAGGGAGGTTCTAGAAGTCACAAGTACAAACCACTTCCAATACCACACGACATGTTCAGACAGGCTCGCTTTTCTATCTATTCATGTTGGGTCACTATTTGTGCAATGTAACTATCCAGAATCAGTGTCTATGGCTCAACAAATGATGCATATTCTCGCTATTCTCACTATGCTCGACCGACGGTCCCGTCCGACAGTCAGTCGAGCCTTGGCCGAACGGCTGGAGGCCGCCACAATCTCACGGCGGGCCTCCTCGAACACATGCGGCTCCACTCGTCCAAATGACATGACGCGGGCTCCACTCGTCGGGGTGGTCGTTGTTGTCGGTAGTTGCTCGTGTTCTTGCTTAATTATCTTAATTGCTGATGTTGATGTTGATGCGTTGACTCTTGTCGCCGGCAGAAAGAAATGTGCATGTCATTGTATGTCTATTGTGTAGATTTATAGTGCTGATGACAATCACGATGCGTCGTGCCGAATCAACGTCCGAGTCCCGTCGTGCTGCGGAAGAGAAAACATGCGCCCGTTGCGCCCGCGACCGACCGGTCCAACGCACGCGGCGGTGTCCTCCAGCTGATAACTGGTGACCCAACACAGCTCCTTGGCCTCGATGCGGACAGTGAGACAGTGGCGCACGCGGAGGTGCGCGGTGGAAGAAGGGGAAAAACGATGAACAACGGGTTTGTAACCCGACGGCAAATGGTTCCGTGGCAAATGAATGCAAATCACCCGAAGACACTGGGTAAAACCGTCTTCCTGCACAACCAGGACTAGCAAAATGGGACAAGGGTTCCCCCTTGTCTAGTTGGAACACTCCCACACATAAAGAGGGCGCCGTTCCAAAGAAGGTTTGGAAGATGAGGACTTCCACTACAGTTGGAGGCGATGTGAGTTTGGTGGAGTGCAAATCAACCAAAGGACCAGCTACCCGAATCGCTTCGTTGGCACTGTGAGTCACGTTCATAGTCATAGCCTCCCTGAAGCTATCCAGGATGAATGATGTATCATGATGTATACTGTTGCCGTACCCCACAGTACCAATGATCCCCACTGGCGAGCAGCGGGTAGGACATGCAAGGAGGCTTCTCTCACTCTCATAGGCTGCCTGTTCTTGCGAGACGCTCAGCAAATAGCTGTACATCCATTCATGAATAGTCGTGTCATGGGCCAACCCGTGGGGGAGGTTCTCCTGCGACTGGGAAGGAAAAAAAAGCAACAGCAATGGACCTGGAGTTCATGAAGGTTTCGACCCGTCCGTGGCCCGAACAAGGGCCCCCCCCCGTGTTCAGTCCAGTTGATGTCGAGGGATGGTCGGGCAATGAAACAACTCCATTCGGAATCGTGGTCAAGAGACCCCCGGGAAAAGGATCAACCGGTGGATCCCAACGTCCACGAAGAGGGGCCTGACATCCCTTCGCCCCAAACCAAATCCCTTCGCTGAAAGCAGAAGAGTCTATCTGGTTCATCCGCTCATCTGAGCCTGTCTACACTCCCTGAAATCATCATGATTATGTGGAGACCTACCACCTCTTTGGTCTTCGGATTGTTCAAATGGTCCTCCGAAATCCGGGGCCATGCCATGCCATCTTCGAATGATTCCTGGCATCCATTCCACCATGGATCGACTTCAGCCTTTTCAACGTGTCTTTTTCAGCCCAAACCCCCGTCCGATGTCGCGGCTCTGCTGGTCGTCCTGCCGCGGCCAGGTCGGTCCCTCGGGCGTCCAGGCCATGAGAGCGAACTTGGCAAATTGCGGGCGGCTCTTCCGAGGATCATCGTCGGAGTAGTACCTGGGACGTTCGTTCGAAGAAGAACGGAGGTCGTCACCGGGGGTGGTTCGAGTTCGAAGAGCGAAAGATGCGGGGTTTGCCGACTCTGGAAAGATGTGGGTGTTGTTAAAGGGAAGCAGCCAGGGGTATGCTTGGGTGTCCTCTGATTTTCAGGGGCTGGATGACCAATCCGTTTGTCTGCTTGAGGTTTCTTCCACCGCCGGTTGCGTGGGCAGGATGGAACGACGTTCGACCCCTGAAGGATCCATGGACGAATGGACTGGGCAAGCTGAGGTGGTTTCGCTCCGAGAAGGCAGCAAAATGGACGAAGAAAAGAACAACCCAAATGAGATGAGTTCTCAAACTCAGGAGGGTTGGAGGGGTTCCCCTCTGCCTGCGACTTCCCTCCTTACTTCCCAGGTCTCAAGATGGGGCCTCCACGAGCTACCCAGTGGTTTTGGACGGTGGCAAAGCTGCTATACTAAGACCTATGTCGGCCATCAAGCAACTTTTATCCCTAATGGATCCACACAAAAAAATAGCCATTGCATCACCCCAAATTTTTCTGAGCAGGCTCCTTGATCAGCGCACGTTGGATCCCGTTCCGGGCGGATCGCAGGTTTGAAGGGCTTTCTCCACCTGGCAGTGACAACCAACGGGAAATGTACGCAAAGCCCGGGGATGAAACGGAACAAACCGCGAAGCCAGCCGCGCGGAGATTTGTTCGGTTGCGCAGGCACCCGTTTGATGGAACTATGAGTCCGCGAAAGATGTTGTTCGGGTTGTGTGGCAGTCTTTTGGTTGTGTGCGTCTAGGATTCTAGATGGCTGGGGTGCAGGGCTTCGTTGGATGCCTGCAAACAGAATCTGATATACACAAATTGAAGCAGCAACCTAGGGCACTGGGAGCTTGGCGGTGCGCGTGCAAAAATGGATTGTGGAATTGTGTTTGATAGTATTTCATGTCCATGTTCAATTGTGTTTGTTGAATGATGTTTCTATCTGAACAAGACCCAAAAGAAGTGTTTGGCTTTGCGGCGGGGGGCGGTTAGTTGCTTGATCCATTGTTCTAACAAAGGTGGAACGTGCCATCACCGCCCCTTGGCTCAAAGTTTTGCATGTCCTGTCGTTTAAAGAAGGATTTCTATACCCTGACCATGTCTTACCCCGCAAAATGTCCAAAACTGCAAGACCCAAAGGGTCGGGTGCGCGAAACACAAGATCGCCCCCCTAATGGTGTTTTGTGGACAAGGAAGGAAATAACAGTGCTCCCCTAAATCACCAACCCTTTGTTCAACTTTTGACATTTCCTGTAGAACTCTCTCAGAGTTGCCCCTTCGCCAAAAGCTATATAATTGAGTTTGCTACCAAAGAAACCTCCTCCGAGGAGTGTTCCAACAAACGTGTGTTCTCGATGGACCTTGCAAGTACACTCCTACAACATGAAGTGCCAACAAAGCGCGAAAACATGTGATAACGCCCTCTTGGATAGTAGCCTTTCTTCACCTGCTGCGCAACACATTTTGGGACGGACGGCACATCATATACTTCATTGTCCATCCCATCTGCATGGACACAGTTGGCTCGGCCATCTTCCCAAGATCCGTGTGCGAAGAACATCGAGTGCTCGTCTCAAGGCGCTGGGAATCCGAGGTTGGACTTCTTCGAGGGGACCTTCATCACAAATGAAAGCGAGAAGCCCCACTCCCTTCTCTCGAGACTACTCCGAATCAACGGAAACATGAATGACCGGAGGACGCACAGCTGCGAAAATCCTATCGCGCAAGGTGTGTTCTGCTTCGTTGCAAGGATGTTCTCTGTTGTTGTTGTTGTTGGCGCAGGTGTTATGTTCCAAGTTGAGAGGGTTTCAGAACTTCCAGTATGGCACGATGTCTTAGAAAGGATCGTCCGCTACGTGTAAGGCTCCTTTGTTCCAAAGGTTGCCAAAAAACATGTTGATTTGGAAATGGTGCCTAACAAGGTTGATTTGGAACGTGATGATGACTAGCAACATCACAAAATACCCACTGGTTCCCGAATGCGTAGCGAAGGGTTCTCGTTTAACTCTTGGGGGTCTGGGGGTGGAGCCTTGTTCGTGACCCGTTGTTTCTACGTCCGCAACCGTCCGCAACCGTTCGCAACCGTCCGCAACCGTCCGCAACCGTCCGCAACCGTCCGCAACCGTCCGCAAGTGTTCGCAACCGTTCGCGGTAGAGCGCTAAGGCGCTGCCATTGGGGGAAGCTTTTGCAAGTGACTTTTCATGGATGTGTCACGTGTCAGTTTGCGCCGCTATTCCATTGTGATTTGCATGAAAAAGACATGTCGCGCAAGCAACGTGATGCGTTTCGCTGCACAGGCGCAGCGTTTGGTGAGATCTGCAGATTGCTGCGCAGTTCCATTGGGATTAGCGTTTGGAGAGGGTGTTGGATGTAGCCGTGCCATTGGGATTTGCGTTTCAGGGTGTGGCATCGAAGCTCTGTTTTCGTGACAAGTCTCAGCTGAAATGCCGATTTTGGTGGATGGGAGTGTGCTCTGAACGGGTCGAAATCATTCCAAACGTATGGTGTGGTGCAAATTTCGTTGAAGCTCACATGCGATGATATTGTTACTTTTCGTGGCAGGCGCAGGACTTTGTGCGGGCTTTGAGGTGTGGAAGTGGGATTTTCGTGGCAGGCGCAGGGAATCGTGAGGTTGCGATTTGTGACGGAGGTGACATTTCGTGGCAGGCACAGTACTTTGTGCGTTAGACGTGTGGACGCGGAAAGATTCGTGGCAGGCGCAGGGAATCGGGAGGTTGTGAGTTGCGGTAGAGGTGAATGTCGCTGTCACATTGGGATTGGCGTGTGAGCGGGCGTCGTTTGGAGGGGCTGGAATCGCGAAACTGCTTGGCAAGGCTGCGTGATGTGTGTGCTCCGATGGGTGTTTCCGCTGGACTTTTGGAGGAAGTCTCATGCGAAACGTTCGAATTGCAGACTTTGACATGTGAGTTTTTGAGGAAGAAGTCTCGTACGAAACGCTCGTTTTGGGGACTTGACATGTGACTTTTGGAGGAAGTCTCGTACGAAACGCTCGTTTTGGAGACTTGACGTGTGACTTTTGGAGGACGTCTCGTACGAAACGCTCGTTTTTGAGACTTGACGCGTGACTTTTGGAGGAAGTCTCGTACGAAACGCTCGTCTTGCAGCCTCGCAGCGTGACTTTTGGAGGAAGTCTCGTAAGTCTCGTACGAAGAGTGTGCCCTACAGGAGTGTCCCACAAGAGTG